AATTGCTCAAGATTTTCACACCTTTAAGACACATTTATCTGAGAGAAGAAGAAAGGAACCCACCATAATCCCCGTAAGCAGACACACGCCTTTCCCACAGTACGTGTGTGGTACAGTGTCCCCGTAGCCAATGGAGAGGAAGGTAATCGAGATGAGCCACATGGCTCCCAGGAAGTTACTGGTCAATTCCTGTTTGTCATGATACCTGAAGTGATGAATATAAGCAGAGGTTGGAGACACACAGTCAGTAAAACTGGATACAGTTTCTTGAATGTGAGCATGCTGGAAGATGACACAGTGGTGTGTGTGAACCAAACAAGGATGGTGGGTGGAGTTGGAGGAGGAATAAATCATGGTGCTACACCTGTTTTGTAAGTCCATTCTGAGTAACTCAATTTTTAGTTTTAAATGAATGAATTTGAGACACTAATTTATTTCTATTCTTTGCCTTCATGTCATGTCTATCTGAGCGAGTTTAATGGAGTAATATGTTTAATGGATAGAAAACCTAAACTGACATGTAGGCAGAAAAAAAAGCAGATACAATAATTTTATATAATTTTCAGGAATATGATGGAATGAATTCAAACAGAGAGCAAAAACCACTTAAAACGTGTTGCATGTTCAGTGTCTGGCAATTTAAGTATTAAACATTTGATGAGATGAAGGATACAGAGCATTCACAAGAAGATCTGAGGCCAAACCACTTACTCTTGATATGCATTAGCATATAAACTACAGTGTGAGAAAACATTTAAAATGGCAAAAAAAAGAATGAATAAAGAATACTGCAGGTCACGCCCGATATGAAAATGACAACCCGACAAATGCAATGTTAGTGTATCTAAAAATGCACATTCTCCTGCAGCAAATCAAACTAACAATTGGCTTATTGGTCATGGTTTGCTGCAAATATTCCTCCACAGAATTTAAGCTGCCCCCAAAAAAGGTTTGTAATGCAAATCATCTCTGCAAACATGCCATTTGCTGAAAATAGCTGACAGCCATGTTTGACTCGTCACTCCAAAGCCTGCAGTGGATATGCAGAAATACTTCTATAAAAAAACACACTGGAAAAAGTTGGATTGATGATGACATTCCCATTTCTTTCGCAGCAAGAAAAAAAGTCCATCAGAGAGACAAATCCTCACCCCCTCCCCCTCATTCAACTCGCCTGATTATTCCCAATGGGCTGTCTAGGAGGAGATCAGATAAGATTTAATTTTAGAGTTAAAATCAAATATTTATTAAACACTTTGAGACGGCTTGCTAACATCCTTCTGAGAAAACACAGATGGAGTATAGTTTCTTAGATTTTTGTCAAGGCTTTTCTAAAAGGGATTCTCACTGGACCAGTTGAGAACCGTTAACAACCTCAAACTGTCCATCAGTGACCCAACATGGACTCAAAATGGCCAGAACAATCGTCTCTAATTAGTACACGAGTACAGACTGGAACTCTTGGGGCCAGATTATGAATTTTAAAGTTTAACTTTCCACTAAAAAAAAAAAAGAGTTGGGTTTGCAGAAATGCCCCCTCTTCCTTTCTCCTCCAAGACAGTTCATTGTTATCAAATATCATAAATGAACTAACCATGCCCTCTGCAGTTCTTACAACTCCACCTGTGAAGTTCCTATTAATGCTCAAAGTTAATGGGAAAAAAAAATAACAGAATGACAAAAACATTCTGTGAGGTTCAAGCTGCTTAAATGACATGCAGAGAAGCAGTCTGTACAATACCATGCTCAAAAAAAGTCTGTATCCTGCATGCTTCAAAGCAGTATATTGAGAGCAGTGGACTGGTGGGAAAACCTGGGGAACATTAAAGCTGAAAACCACCTCTGGAATCTACGGCAGTGTTAGCAGGTGCTCAGGGGCTGTACATCTTCTCACATGGACTTTCATTTAGAAAAGCTGTGTCAGGAGTGCATGTGCATCAAAGGACAAAGCTCACTGAATTTGACAACCTTGTCTCTTTTACCTGCATCCCAACACTTCACCAGCTACCCTTTGATAGCTACCAGGGGGCTAAACCTGATCATCTGGCTAAATGTTGTAATTACAAGTGACTACTATGTTAATTTCATTCATCTTGTCATCAAGGCATGCAGAGAGAGTTACGTTTTCAAGGTAGGCCATGTGCTGCACCTTCTAGCACAGTGAACAATGTGCTACAGTGTATCACATAAATAACTAGAAAAGGTAATTTCTGAAGGAATTATGGTGGGAGAGCTGATACACAGCCAAAAAGGTACTGATCGCTGAGAAGTTGCTGAGTGTTTAAATGTTAGTGCATTTAAAGATACATGGACCCAAACAAACCCATAAAAAAGTTGATTAAAAGAAAATTACAAAAGAAAAAAAACTAAAGCAAGTAGTATTAGCAAGTAATACTACTGTCGGAAATACTAGTAATGAGAGTTGAGGTAATGAATGGCCTAGTACTGACAGGGTTATTGAAGTAGTAACAGGCGAGGGACCATATCATGGATTAGAAGAGACTCAGTTAACACAGATACTGTCTGACTGCATGTCGGTAAACAGAGAGAGAGACAGAGTGCAGAGGACAAATGGGCGATCGACAAACAGACACTGCATTGTTAACTGTCTCATCCTTAAGCAACCAATCAAAGCCAAACTTGAGAAAAACTTTGACTGACAAAATGAATTACTGAAGAAAAACTATTTGTCATATTGAAATAAAAAACGACTTCACTGTACGAAGAGTCTACAAACACACTGATACCCTATACGTGGGGATATTCCATAAAACGAAGGATTTATCATGAGTTACAAGCAGCTGTCATCTACGAGTTGGATGACAATTTCTGGGTGTCTCTTACAATGGAACTGAATAAGAGGTAATCTCTGTGCTTTTGGCCATCTCAGTCAAAAATATGTACAACCTGTCACAATAAGAAGTGCAGGTCCTGAATCCTGACAAATTCCTCTACGTTTATCATGCATAAATTGTTTATGGGAGTGTAAAATTGACACACAAAAAAAGAAAACAAAAAAAAAAGTTGAGAAAAGTTGAAGGGGAGAGCCTATAGTGAGTACTGTCACTGCAGTACATCACTCCAATGGAGAAGTTCAAAGATGGCAAAAAGTTGAATAACTCCAAAAGTATAAAAGTAATAGCATAAATCTACCAAAGAAGTACATATTACAGTTTGAACAAAGTTTCTAGCCCATAGCATAAAAGGAGATGGCAACAAAAAACAAAATAAAAAAAGGGGGGTGAAATAAAATTGTGGCCAAACGTTTATGGAAACAGATGGGAGAGCTGCTCCATCAGATCTCCCAACTTAATTTAACAAAAAATGTAGAATGCGTTGTTTTCTGTTTTGTTTGTTAGAAATAAAATGTTGTAGAGAACATTTCCTGTTCTATTGTCTGCTTTTATAATGGTAGATGTTGTTTTTCAGTGCACATATTTCAATAATTCTCTGCTCTGAAAAAGAGTAGAAGAAGGCAATAAACAAATAGAGACAGAGGCTGAATAGGAAGCTAATCAATAGATTGTAGGGCTCTCAATATACTGTGTTGAGTTTTGGAAGCGCACGGAGAAGAGCTGGCACCACTTTCAACCTACTCCAGGACAAGCGCTACAGACAGTTTTTATCCCCCACTGCTGAATTCTCCCAGACAGACACTCTGTGGTGAAAGCATTATCCTGGCATCACTTATGCAAATATTTCAGAGATTATGACATCTATCCACTGCCATATAAAATAATACTGTCATTTACATCCAAATGAGCTGTGAAACGTTGTTTCTGTGGCGAGTCAGAGTACAGCATGAATCACACAACATCAGACATATTAAGTAAAATCTCTATAGCTAAATTTGCAGTTAAACAAATCAACAACAGTAACAACTGCCTCTTTAAGTTAACTTCTTTGCCAGTCTCTTCAAATTATCACCAGGGTATCAAACCAACACATTTTCTGTTTATGTGTGCTAGTAATGAACAGCTAGTCATTTAACTTTTTTGCTATTGTATATAGAGGAGTTTATGATACATATGAGGAAATACAACAGCAATACAAGCTCTGAGCAAGCAATAATGATTCTGGATCAAATGTGAAGAAGCCACACACTTCATTCTACCAACACGCACACACCTAAAACACTGCAGAATACACTGTTTTAAGAACAAAAGGAACGCCTTTGTAGATGCAGTACTTAAATAACTAGCTTCAGTCTCAATGCTTTTTAAAGGGTAAGGCCAGCCATTTTCTATATTAATGGTACTTTCAGCGGTACAGAGACTAAAACTGGCAATGAATTGCATCTACCCATGGATTAATGTCTGTCAGCTGTCAGTCCTGGATTAGCTCGTTTGTCTGTGTGATAGATCTCGTTTGTTGTTCAAAAACAATTAAAAAGAAATCGCAGAAACACATCGCTGCACTGGGTGACACTTTTTTTGCAACCAAACCCCAGGCCTGATTATGTTGACCCAAAGTCTCTGAGTGGCCATTCATCATTTGCTTAAGTTAGTGGGAGTCCACGTCAACTGTGCAAAAGTTTGTGTGAGCTCTCGGCTTTGTTTACAGTCTGCTAGCTCCTCACCGTCAGGTCTGGTGTTTGCTAATGGGAAAAAAAAAAATGTCACCCAGTGCAGAGGTGTTTCACTGATGTGTTTTTAATCATTTTGAACAACAACAGCGATCTATCACATAGAAGAAGAAGCTAATTGAGGACTGACAGACTGACAGAGCAGAGGCAATTCATTGCCAGTTTTAGCTTCTGTATGGAGGTTGTCAAGAATACTATTAAAGCTGGGGCCTGTAACTTTTATAAAAATCACTTTTTGTCCTATTTGCTGAAACTGTCATTATATCCTAGTGTTAACAGATAAGACAGATACAGTAGTCTTTGCAAAACTCAAATTCCTCTGGCTTCACCTAATGCCTCTAAATCCATTTGAAAAAATCCATTGTTCCCGAATGTGAACTACCAACCAGAGGCAGCTAACTACCACTGCTTGACTTTGGTTTAAATTTGATTTTTAAGTATTGTATGTAAAGACATTACCTGTTTACAAACCCTAGTTTGGCCCTCTCCTGTTAGCATGCATTCAGTTCTGTTCTCCTTCTTTGCAGGGAGGGGCTGCAGGAGGCAGGGCAGAAGCTCAGCGGAGAGGCTGAGGGAGGGACCTGGACATTGTACTCTATCAAATTCTCTACCCAAATCCA